TGTGTGTATGTGTATGTGTCTGCTAGGGGCCTGCCCCAAGCCGCATTGAAGGCTCAGAGCAGGCGCGCTGTGTGTGTGTGTGTGTGTGTGTGTGTGTATGTGTATGTGTCTGCTAGGGGCCGGCCCCAAGCCGCATTGAAGGCTCAGCGCAGGCGCGCTGTGTGTGTGTGTGTGTGTGTGTGTGTGTCGGCTGGGGGCCTGTCCCCAGCCACACTGTGTGGGCTTGGAGCAGGCGCCCCTCTGTGTTGATCTCTCAGGCTCCTGGCCTCCACTGTGTGTTTTCCTCTCCCTTGAGCTGTGGCCAGGGTGGGGTGCTGCCTGCAGGCTGCGCTTTCCTGCTCATGGATCACTGCAGAGACCGGGGGCAGGCCCTGCTGGGTGCTGCCTGTGGGGAACTTTCCTGCTCTGGGATCGCTATGGGGTCCCAGCTAGGGGCGGGGCTTAGGCGGCGGGTCTTAGGCGGCACATGGGGGGTCCTGGCTGGGGGTGGGGCTTAGGCAACAGGGGCTTAGGCAGCACACGGGGTCCCAGTTGGGGCAGGGCTTAGGTGACCGATCACGCCGCCTAAGCCCGGCCGCCCAGGGCCGAACACGGGGCCGGATGGCATCTGGTGCTGGCCAGCCCTGCCTGCAGTATGCAAATTAGCCTCCATCTTTGATGACAGTTAATTTGCATATGGCACTGATTAGCCAATGGGAAGCATAGTGAAGGTATGGTCAATTACCCTTTTTGTCTTTTATTAGATAGGATTTACATATAATCAAAATATATTCACAGTAGTATTAAAGAAAGTACTATGTATTTAACAGTTGGTAAATTAATGAAATTATTTTCTCATGATTAAATCATTGCTTTATGTGTATGAAGTGGTCAAATTAATCTATAGAACCATATAATCCTGCAGTGTACAAGGTTACTGTAGAGTATTGTCAGAGCTTGGAATTTTATCGCCTCCTGTCCAGAAATATTGGACCAACAATATTTTAGTTGCCTGCTGTGCTCAGAATATTATTCTAGAAATAAGGAAAGACTGTTCAGAGAGACTATAAATTGCTGTCTTTGTGATTTAAGTGAAAAAGTAAATTTGCCTCATAAAGATTTCAGAAGTCAATGAGACAATATTACACACAGATAAAATGTGACAATGAAAATTGTAGGTGAAATTTTGAGGAAAATGAACTATTGGTGACAAGTTGAACTTACTAGAACAACCTTCCTGTCAGAAAAAGTTTTGATGCTGTTTTAAAGGAGAAATGAGTTGGTCCCCCCAAAAAGCTAAGACACGCAGGAAGACTCAGATTTGCCTTATGCAGGAGACTGGAAACATAGTCTGACTAATGCAAAGGTTATGCTGTCATTTAACTAAGATGATTGACTTCTGATTTTATCTTTAAGTTTATAATAAGAGGCTATTTAGCATGATAAAGACACAGACATGAATCAAAACCCTTTCACTATTCACTCTAACAGCTTACTTTTCTGAGCCCTGGTTATGAGTAAGAATGCCAGTCTCATGGTACGGTTATGAGGCTTAAAGGTGCTAATCTGTTCACAATGCTTGGCACATGATGTGCTCTAAACAAATATTAGTCCTTTTCTCTTTGCTGGTCAAATGCAACACGACGCTTGGTGATCAGGAAAAGTTAAGCTTTATTGTCTCCATTTCAAGGTCAAATACAGCCCACAATGAAAAAGTTGGGTGTATGACGAAGTCGTCTTTATTTTGGCTGCCCAGCAGTTCTCTTTAACATGCTCAGGTGGTTTAAGAAGGATCAGAAGTGGTGCCAAGGTCCAGCAGGACCTTTGGCCTACATTCTTCCTGTACCACCCGCTGTGCTAGGGGATTTGGGCACAGGAATCATTCTTCAGAATCGTTCCCAGAAACAGGCACGACAGAGGAATGCTGGGCTGGGGTGGGTTTACCTGGAAGCAAAAGAGCTTGAGCTTCAGAAACCCTCCCCTGCCAAGTCCCTCCTTCGGCATGTACCCCATTTGTGTTTGTAATTTACATTCTTCTCCTTAAAGAGGGCCCTCAAATCAGATCGCCTTCTGGCCCCATAAAGCCTACACCTGTCAGGTAAAAGAAAAGAAGTCGATACAATTTTTTTTGTAATGTATTTATATTGATTTCAGAAAAGAAGGGAGTGGGGGAGAGAGATAGAAACATCAGTGATGAGAGGGAATCATTGATTGGCTGCCTCCTGCACGCCCCCTGTAGGGGATTGAGCCTGCACCCGGGCATGTGCCCTTGGCCAGAATAGAACCCAAGACCCTTCAGTCCACAGACCGACGCTTTATCCGCTGAGCCAAACCGGCCAGGGCGCGATACAATTTTAAAAGGATGGATTGGCCAATAGCAGAAAAAGTAAGTTTTGCCTCCATGGACCAAATCATGAGTTGTTAGTAACCTCTGACCACAGATGCTCATTTGCCCTTAACCGCAAGCTAGCCCTTCCCTGCCTAGGAAGGCGTCCTCTAGTTCAGCGTCTGCCCAAGAATTACCCATGTCAAGAAGTGAGGAAGGGGCCCACCTGGCAAACAGGAGGTGTGCTGTTATATTGCCCATGTTATTCACATTTTTCGGTGCATAAAGGGGAATCAATAGTATATCGTTCTGACTCAGGATGTGACAAACAATGGGTTAAGCACTGTACATGCATTATCACATGTTAAGTAATATTGAAACTGAGGCTTGGGAGAGGTCAAGTAACTTTTTTCGGTCATTGATCTAAGAGAGGAAGGGAGAGGGAGTGAGAGAGAGAAACATCAATGATGAGAATCATTGATTGGCTGCCTCCTGCACACTCCCTATTGGGGCTTGAGCCCACAACCCTGGCATATACCCTGATCCAGAATCGAACTGTGACCTTCACTTCATAGGTCGACGCTCAACTACTGAGCCACGCTGGCCGGGCTCAAGTAGCTTTTTTATACAGCTAGTGGAGCCAGAATTTTAACAGAGGGCTTCTTAAAATCAAAACCCAGGCTCTTTCAACCTCCCTATGTGGCCAACGGTTACCTGCTGAGAATCAGCCAATAGGAGAGAATGGACATTTGACCTACAATCCACCTAATGATTTTGAATACCTAACATCCTGTCAGAAACTTAGTGCCCTTTTCTTCCTTGGTTCCTTCACTGATCTTATATTAAGTGCCTGTAATGTGCTGCCCTGTGCTTAGTTATTATTTCTTCAAAATTGTCACTGCCCCCTAGAAGCTTTCCAGATGCGTAGGTAGACAGATAGGTAGATAAATAGGCAGGCAGGCAGGCAGATAGATAGATCGATAGATAGATAGATAGATAGATAGATAGATAGATAGATAGATAGATATAGATACTCAAGAAACTTTCACCATTACTATGATTAATATCTTTGGTTATTTTAAAAGCAGCCTCAGAAATCCTTTTAAAATTCATATTGTTTCTTTAAATCAAAGTTTAAAATTTCAGTTATTTAATCACTAACCTGAAAACACTGCATGTGATTTGGAATTAGCAACTTCAAAAATTTTATTTTCAAAATTTGTAAAACAGAGTTGGGTTTGAAATGGATAATTTTTATTATCTGTCAACCTTTTAATTACTCCTTTTACATTAAAGATCTCTTATTCCTGGGTGACTTTATCCATAATCATTGTCCATTTTTGAAAAACATAATTGTAACTGCTACAGAAGCTTAGGGAACTAGATTGTGTATTGAGGAAGGAGAACATTATTTTAAATGAAATATGTAAAGTCATGGACTGTGGCCAAGGCTTAACTAAAATGAGTCAAGCAACCACTGAGGGTTTGGCTCACATGATTAAATTGTGACGTTCTCGGTTGCATTAAAATATTCATTGAACACTAGTCCCAAAACAAAGTCATGGGTAGAAACTGTCAATAGTCAAAATGGTATTGGAGACATTTTAAATACATTTCCTAAGTAAAGAACTTTAGACATAATGATTACAAAATATATATATGATAAGAATAAGTGAGCTATAGTTTGAATGTAGTAAGTGCCTACTCTGTAGTGAAATGGGAAGACTGCTTTTAGTTGGCCCAGTTTCAATCACATGAGAGTTGGACAGTATTACCAAACCTTTTTAATGAAATACTAAGTTCTCTTTATGAATGCTCACCGGAGAAACTAATTGTGCACATCCTGGAATGAAAGATGGCTCCAATTTATGAGTGTCCCTGAGGATTCTGTCAAGTATCCAATTATATCTCAAAGAGTAAAATCTTGATTATAACATGGCCTCAGGGCTGAAGCAGTGACTAGCACGTTGGGTATACGGTGGACTATTCAAGAATAAAAGCCTTGCTGTTTTCCACGCGGGAGGGGATGCCGGGGGGGGTGGGATAAAAGCCTTGTTGCATTAAGGGTGAAGTTGTGTTTCGTGTAACTTGACTGCAACAATTGAGGAAAGTGCTTAGTTGCACAAATAGAATTCTGCAAACAGTTCTATAAACGTATTTGCAAATGATATTACGATTGGAAACTAAAATGGTATTGTGAATACACTTCTAGCTCCTATCATTTTCTTCCACACAAAGAGCTTTCTGCTTCTTGATGTGTATTCAGAAAAAGTTTTACATAAATCGGGCTTTTAAGGAATACTCTTTATCTCTTCTTATCCCCCCAGTTGCCTTGTTGAACACAGCTTACACAACATCCACTTTCCCAGCATTTTAAAATGCCTCCTGACCATTGAGTTGGGTGTATGTCTAGAAAGACATGTGAGCTTTCTTTGAGATGTGTTAGTTTAAACATTAGTCATAACCAGCCAGCAGCGTGAGTACCTGAAATGTTACTGAGCTTTGCACACATGAAGTGTTTGACACAAAGACGATCCTGGAGAACATGATTACAAGCAAATTCAAAGGCTCAGGACTGCTATGTACGAAAGGTTTATATAGTGGCAAAACTTGTGTTGTTCCGTAACATTTGCCAGATTTACCTGCTGAAAGTTTTAATCGCCTTTCCTTCCCTTTCCCTCTTTTGCGGACACAGATCCACATCCAGAGAACTGAAGGGTGTGATCACATGACCTGTTCACAATGTAACACTAATTTTTGTTATCGATGTGGGGAGAGATACCGCCAGCTCCGTTTCTTTGGAGACCACACATCAAACCTCAGTATATTTGGATGCAAATATCGCTACCTCCCAGAGAGACCTCATCTAAGGAGATTCGTGCGAGGGTCGGTCTGTGGTAAGTACTGGACATGACCTTGAGGCATCGTCCCTAGGGAAGTGAGCAGTGATAGCAGAACTCAGAATGGAATAGCCACGAGAATGCTAACCACTGCCAGCTATCCTAGTGGGGCCTTTACCCCAAAACAGGGGGGAGATATTCTCTCTCCCTTTGAGTTTATAATTAAAAACTTAAGTTTGTTGGCAGGACTGTCTTACATGAGCCACCAGATTTTGTTCAAAATAAAAATTACTAATTTCTCTGCAGAAATGTAAAATTAATTTTTAAATTTCTGTAACCTATTGTAAGGCGCCTATTGAGAGAAATGTCACATTTATTTTTATATTGACAATACCTAGCAGTGAATCTTATACCTACCCTCTCTTTGTTCATAGAGAATATGCTATACAATAAAAAACAACCATATGTTTCACAGCCCTTAATGGAGTGCCATTGTATCCATATGGTTGATAAGTCACTGTATATCTTTTCTATTGTATTAATAGCTAACAGTTAATGTACTGAGTAGCAAATGCCCTCAGAGCATACAGTTTTTCCTCCATCTTAATCTTCAACAACACACAATGTCATACACAGATATGCAAACATAGACACAGGTTTTTGCTCCACCTTTATGTGGGCAATTCTTCAGACCTCATAGTTGTTTCAATAGCACTGACTCCCCTGGAATGCACCCACTGTGGGATTTCTTCCTCTCTTTTCATCACAAAGAACGCCATTATGTCTTCCTGTGGTAGTTTCCCATGTATATGCAACACTTGTTAACATCTTCCACGTTGCCCATTTTCTACCTCCTTTTGCCTAGTTCCTTCATGAAGCTGTTTTAGAGCTCTCTTTCGCTCTCCATCACTGCTATGTAAACCACTCCCCTCTCCAGTATCATATGATGGTTAATCAGACCCAAGCTGGTGCTGATGATACATTCCTAGCAAGTAAAAGAGAACATATATTTTAGGATTCACTTTAATTTATGGAGACCAGTTGCCATCATTTTCTAAAATCTTGTATAACCTCTATAAAAGGTCCTCACTGAAACTCAAACATAATTTACCATAGCCAGCATAATTCAATATAGTCAACATTGATTTTAATCATTTTCTTATAATGACTTGATTTGCTTATAATGGTATATGATATAATTATATAACCAATATTTACTTATTAGTTATAATAGACTTGGGAGGGATACTCAGGGAATCTAACCCCTATATATAATAGTAATGCCATGAGAAAACTAATTGCAAAGTAAGTTTTGAGCTGTAACCTATTTGTAAGTCTATGCATACAGAGAACAACCTACAAACACAAAATCTTACATTTTCTGCATTGTTCTTTTCTTTCCTACCTCAGTGCCGTTTCGTGGCACGATAGTTCTTTTCCTTCCATTCACTAGAATCCTCTTCTCAGAGCATACAAGAGTCGAGTTATGTACCAGCCTGTAGAATGCACAGCTCATAGAATTTGTCGGCAGGGAAATCTTTTCTCTGTTCCTTTTCTGTTTTTATTTAAAGATGTTATGGTCAGCTTTCTGTAAATGGTTTTCTTTTGGGCCTAATTTCTGTTCTGAGTGTGCGTGTGTGCGCATGTGTCGGAACAAACCTGCAATGTAGGAGGAGCTGGCCCTAGGATAAGCTCTCCTTCCCACACAGATCTTCCACCTCCAGCACAGCTGCCTCTAACTCCTGTGGACTACACTCTCCGTGGAGAGGTTCCCACTTCTCCCATCTGCACACAAGGCAGGAAAAGGGGTTACTCTGTCAAAGGGGTTACCTTTGCTGCCACATAAGAAGGAAGAAGGATTGACCCTAAGGAAGTCCTCCCGCCCGCTGTCCTTATGTGATGTAACCCAGTTTGCTCCCTTGGTTTGGGACCACCGCCTCCAGATGTCCTTGAGCAGAGGCACAGAGGGGCTGCTCTTCTCTCACACCTGGAGTGTGGGAACCATGGTCTACATTGTGTATGGCCACATGAATGAACATACTGAGCTACATGCACAGAAGAGAAACAGAGTCTTTTAAAACATGCAGGCCAAGCCCAGCCAGTATGGCTCAGTGGTTGAGTGTTGACCCACGCACCAAGAGGTCCTCGTTCGATTCCAGGTCAGGGCACATGCCCAGATTGCATGCTCAATCCCCAGTAGTGGGTGTGCAGAAAGCAGCTGATCGATGTTTCTCTGTATTCAATGTTTCTCTCTCTCTCTCCTCCCTTCTCCCTCTCCCTTCCTCTCTTTCTAAAAATAAATAAAAACATAATAAATAAAATATGCAAACCAATATAGTCTAACCAGTTTAGCATAGTTTTAAGAATGTACAAAATGTCATTGTTCAATGAGATTTAATATTACTTAATTGGATTCTGTCGTTGGTGAAAACTATAAGTAAAACCCAGGGTGTCAGTTGTGTCAATTGAATGGCACTCTTTCACAATTACATGTTAAACACTGCATTTTTTCTATCTGTCTGGTCATGATTCCAAATGGTTCCAAAGACCACTTCTTAAGAATAAAAATACTGACATTTTTTCTGGCTTCATTATGTTTCTATTATTTTTATGTAATTGGATATTCCAAATTACTGTCCTTCATTTGTAGAATAATGTTGCTGCTTTATTTTTAAACAGCTCAGTGATTCTACTGCCGAGTCCCTCCATTCCTTCCTCCTCTCTTCGTGTGTCTGTGCTCTGCATCTACACTGCTGTGTCACATGCCTTAGGATGAAGATTATTAAGATTATGACATAACAAGATATTAACTATTAGGCTTTTGTGTGTGTGCTAGTGCCTTTCAAAGTTAGTGGGATTCTGATTGTGAACTCTGCTATGTTTGCATATACCTGGTGTTTATTATAATCAGTGCTCAATTGTTTATTTAGGGGAAAAAAAGGCTGATTGATGCCTTTGGGCATCCTTATCAACGTTTAGACATAGCACTTACTATAGAGTGTTTCCTTTTATAATTTGTTAAGATGATTTACTCGAATAACTTCCAATATATTGTATGTTTATTGGTAGTTTTCTCTAAAATAGTACTGCAATATCCTTTTATAGTTGTTTATTAGGTGTTCATATTGGTTTCTTTGGACCCGGAAGAAAATAAATCACTTTTCCAGAGGAGGGCTTGGGCAGAAGTCCTCTACAGCACCTACTAGCTTTCCATTCTGTGAGCTAATTATATTTTTGAGACACAACTTAGATTGTGTCACTCCATAATATTTTTAGAATCTTGAAAATTGAACATGGAAGAGACCTAAAGGAAAAGTCCTGGGAGAATAAAGTGAGCCAGTAGCTTGGTAGTTTCTTTGCTTATAAAGGATAAATGATTTATGAGATGGTTGACTAATGTGCCCAGGACTGCAGTGAAGTTACTAAACCTACATCTGTATATAATTGTTCTACACCTGATACATTTCCTTGGAGAAACACTGCCTTCATTATCATTAGACTTCCTTTAAAATATAATATACACTGTGGTATTAACAAACATAGCTGAAATGTTTGTTGGGTAACTTTGCTCTAAGACTCTAAATGGTTTTGCCTTTTGTTTTCCAGCTGGAAAATTATTTGTTGCACCTCTAATCCTGGTCCTGGGATTAGCACTAGGGGCCATAGCAGTTGTAATTGGTAAGAAACACTTAACATATCCGAGATTAGAATTCTCTGAGTGCCATAGAGAATGAGTGCAAATGTAATAATGTGAGTCTGTTATTAAGTGGACATGATGTCTGTTTGTTCCATGCTTACTTTAGATAGGCAATTGATTTACAGATTCAGAGGCTCGTATTTCATATAGGATGTATTTGTGTGGCACTTGTTCAGTCTGTGGACACCTTGTACCATGTATCTTTTGAAGCATCATTAACCCCCTTTGAATAACGACATTGATACAACTAGTATTTTAATGAAAGAGTCCAGTGGCCTAGAACCCAGATTTTTTAAATTCTGAGTTCCGGTTGGATCATCAAAGAAAAGAGGCTCTGGTACACCCTCGGCTGTTTGGTTTGTTCTAGTGAAAGAGTGCCCTGAGTGATAAGAACATATACCCAACATATACTTGAGCCCTGACCAATAGAAAATGTATCAGCGATTTGTATAGTGTTATGCACAGAGATATATTAAAATATGTTTTTTAAAGCAGTGGTTTCTGAGACTCTAGCTTTAAAACCACCTGGAGAGGAAGGCCGGTTTAAGCACAGGTTGCAGATCCCTCTCCACCGTTTGTGATTCAGTGCCCGGGCAGCGCCCATGGGTTTCTAGTTCCAAAACTTTCTCAGGTGATGCTGCTGCTGCTGGACCAGAGACCACACGTTCAGAGTCATCGCTTCAGAGAACATTAAGTTAAATGCTATCGGTAAAGGCACCTCTGATGATGGTTTCAAATGGTGGATGGAATTGTTTTCTAAATAAAATAACTTTTCATATGTAAAGTTCTATTTAGCAAGGAATTTGCACATATAGGACAGATTGAATTATAAAGTAACTGACATTTGTTACAGTGAGCCAATCTTTACGTAGTAGATACTATTGTTATCTGCATTTTACAGTTGAGGAAATTCAGGCTTCCTGGGCCAATCATAAGTGGTAGAGCTGGGAATGAAACCTGACATTTGGCTCCACAGTCCATGCTGTTCAGTAACACATTATTCTGTCTGAAGTATGAACATCATAGTATGCAAATGGTATAACTAGAGCTAATAAATAAGGCTTAAACCTAAGGTTTGATATTTTGAGAGAAAACATTGTTCCATTTTTAAACTGGTATCACTAGAGATTGTGAAAGAGGGGAGAGACCTAAAGAAAATGAATAAAGAGTGAAATCTTGTACAAGTAAATACATTTTGTGCCATAGGTATCTCTCCTCTTTGCATTTTCACATATTGCTAAATTATGATGATTCGTAAATCATTTTCAAAATGGAAAATTTTCAACTATGTAAACCGAAATGCCTCTCCTTCTCATGAGCTTACAGTGTTTTGTTTTGTTTTAACCCCTAGGTTTATTTGTATTTCCTATCTATTGCCTTTGTAAAAAACAGAGAAAACGATCACGGACAGGTATGCACTGGTGAAGTACACGTCACTTCATCTAACTAAGCTGGTCCGGGTAAGAGCTGTCCAGAATGGCACACCCGTCTTAAGAGTTGCGTCTTGGAACACAGCGAGAGGACCCACCTGCCATCTCGTGTCTCCGTGGTTCTCTGCAGGTCACGATGCCTCTAGCTCCGTTGCACTCCCCACATGGTATCCCGGCCTTTCCTGATATTGATTGCTGCTTTTACAGAATGGTCACTTTCATATACTATAAGCACCTATGTCATAATTCTGATCTTCTTAATGGGTCTTGGAAGAAATAATTTTAAGTAAGAACCAGTTATCCTCAGCACTGTCTGAGCATGCCTCTCCCGAGAGTTGCTTGGACTGTCTTTGTACCTGAACCCTCCTTCAGCTCATCTGTGAGACTTGGTGTGAACAGCCGAAGTCCCACGTGTACCAACAATCAAGGCCACCTTTCAGCAGATGAAGGCTCACCATATGCCCCTGGTTTCATCTGTGGCCCAAACAGTGTAATTCCTTCCTCCTTCAGATGCTGTAATTGTCTAAAAAAATCTCAGTGCCCAAAGGGAACGAATGAAACAAAATTAATGAAAAGAATCATGAGTTACTGAAGTGTATACATGTAGGGGTATGAATGTGTGTGTATAAAGATTTGTATTAAAACTCGGCCCAATGGCCTTGTACTGGTCAACTTTCATGCCTCTACACTATTTTCCCACATTTTCATAGATATCTTTAAAGATGATGGTTCCTTTGTGAGCATAATTTGAGAATGTACTGAATTAAAGTCAATTTAGACAACAGGCTATTTCGATTGTTGACCCTTTCTATTTCTCTTTGACACACACACACACACACACACACACACACAGAAATGTGTGCCTTGTCACCCAAGGATTATCACTTTATAAACTGACAAAACTGACTGATTTTAGGAAATTCTTAAGACCTGAACATTCAGTCTTTCAGATTTCTTATATTTTGGCTTACATGTTTCACTATATGAATAAATGTTTTAGGCAGAATTAGTCAATTTAAATAACAGGTTTGCTGTGGAAAACACTGCTTAATCCTTTAAACAGATGCCTATTCTGCTAATTTTTTAAACAATTTGTAATTATCACAGATAATTTTGCTTTAGGTCAAGGTGTGGCATTATTGACTCCATCCTCTTCTTTCTTTTTTTCTCTCTCTCTTTTTAATTTGTTCCCAAGTTTTACTAGTTTTGAAGGATTTTTTCTTATGTTTACTCTTCCTATGCAGAATAATGTGTTGGTATGTTCTCATGGAGGGGTAATTTAAAAAAAAATTGTGTTTATGGGTTTATCTAAAATATAAACTGCTTTTGGAGAAGGAAACCAAAAAAAAAAAAAAATGAAGGAATCATTTTCAGGAAGTTTTACCAAGCTGAAGAGGACAAGTAACTAAATTATGTTATTCCTTTGTTTTCATCACAAAAGTTCATCAGCAGAAAGGAAGTAAAGACCCCTACGAAGACTAGTTTTCACTTGTTTCCAAATGCTTAAAATTAGTTATCTGCATAGGCATAGCATTAATTTCACAGCAACCTTGTGTGAGTTGAAATAGACGATGTGAAAAAACATGCATTAACATGGATAGTGTGTCTTGTTGAACTCCAAGGTATAAGAATATTTATGATTTTTATTTTATCTAAAAGTCCATGGTATTGAAGTTTCTGAATGACACTCAGAATAGCTATACTATAGCTTCTTGACTAGACTATTTCCAGGTAGAGGAGGGTGTGCCGTATGGTTCTGGAATGTCATACTACTAAAGCATAACATGATACCAGAAAAAGCAATGTGCTATATAGTTTCACAAAATCATCTTTCCATTCATTCATTATCCATCCATTCGACAAATATTTATTGAGTGCTTATTCTACATGCTCTAGTATTAAAACTGAGAGAATGAGAATTTCAATCTTAAATCCATGTAATTCTTTCCTAAAGTGCTTAATTTGTCTCTTCCAGACTTAGGTGTTAGTTTGACAATACGTGAATATAATAATTCTAAATCTAGTGGATATGGTTATGTGATATCTATGTATGTATATATACTATTTCCATAGAAACATGTATATATATTATCCATATATTTATGTAGGATATATATGTATACATATATAATATCTCCATAGATGCATATGAATACATATGCCACATACATATCTATACCAACTCGCTAAATTATATACTCTCTGGTCTTAGATAATCTATTTTCTTAGGTGTTGTGTCTGTTGCCTTTGGCCTACTCAGGGATTTTTATTTCTTTGAATAACTATTCTTTGGGAGATATTTTTATATTATTTGGAAACGTTCCAATTTTCCAATTACAAAGTGGTATTTGTTACCAGTGAAAGCTGTTTCATCAGTGCTTCAGCAAGCATGTACTGTGTTGCATAGGATTGTCCTTTTTCTATAGCATGGATTTTTTTTTTAAATGTGTGTTTTTCCTCTTTAAAAGTTGTTATAGATGGGGCCTTTTCTTGTTGGTGACTTAAAGTAATTGTTTGTGATTTTTTTTAACTAAGTGGCATTAAGATCTTAGAAAGAGAGAAGGAATTAAAAAGGATTATATGTCAGTGCCAACATTGAAGTTAAAACAAGAGTAATAACTTTTGGAATGAATTCTAAAAACTACTTTGGAGAAAGAGGCGTACACATAATGTATCTTTCTATCCAAAGCTTGTCATTTTTATATGTTTTTATTGTAAATTTAATATATACTTTTTTTGAAAAAAATCAAATCATACAGAATTATAACATACAAATTTCTCTACTTAACCCACTCCTTATTTTCTAGGGGTAGACACTATTAGTAATTTGGTATGTGTCCTTCCAGACACTTTCTACAGATATACAAACAATTGTCCGTGTGAGTGTGTGTCTGTGTGTATATTAGTTTTATACAGCCAGAATATTAGCATTCTTACTGTCCTGTGACTATTTTCCATTTTATTATATATTGGTAGATACCTTTCCATAAGGGTTTAAATAGAGTTACCTCATTCTTTTGTAAATTACTACATATCCCACTGTGGTGGTATGCTTTAATTTATTTAATTAGTCTCCTGTCAATATCAAGATCACTTTTTACTTCTCTAATACAAAGCATCAGTGAGGGCCCTTTATATAAATTGTTGTCAATTTGTGTTAACATCTACATAAGTTTTTAAATTTGGTTCTGATAACATTGGTAATAAAATGTTAATGCATTTTCTGTGAATGAGATCATAGAGATTGTATATTTGAGATCTTTTTCTTGGAGAAAAAACAATTATATAGAAGTGCATAATTTTAAAAGAAAAGCATCTTTTGCAGGATAGTTTTACTCCTGCTTAATTAGCCAAATAAATATCTTGCCAAGACATATAAAAGAAAGTTAATGTTACTCTAATAAAAATAAAATTTAATGAGATGCCTATAAGATATCCAAGGCAGGTACATTGATATTTGATAGCCTAGTTTTAAGACTTGAGGGATTTAAATGAAATAAACAAACCGATCACATTTGTCCCATTTTTTGGTAAACACTATCCATGTCCATGCATGTTGCTGCACAAAGGAACTTAATTATGCCATTGTGAAAAGTAAGAAGCAATATCTTGGCAATTATGAATGGCCACCATTATCTATAGAAAAATAAATTAGATGGTATGCAGGTTTGGTGGTTTGTTTGGGACATTTATAACTTGTGGAATAATGTGAAACATTCCTTTTACAGTGAAGCTTAGCAGTTCCCTAAGAACCTCTGCATGTGGACTTACCCAGAGGGCTCAACCCTTTGGTACAAGCAACATGGTGTTGCCACCACCCTGATTTTCTGATAGGTGCTATTGTATCCTGAAGGTGGCTCAGACAGGAAAGCAATCAAAGGTAATTAAACACCACTCGGGTTACAACCTGATATCTCTAATCGAACTTTCCAGACTGCAGTATCAGGATTCAGTGGTGCCTGTCTGGAGATTCCTTGTCCAGCCACACCCACCATCTCTTGAGTCCCTAAAGCCTCATTAGGCCTTTATCTTTCAGTCCTACCACCCAAATATATGGCCCATAGCTCCCCTAAAATACCCTCAAACCACTGTCATCCCTTCTAGTCCTTGGTGATCCCCCCACGCCCACCTCATTTATCTCTACTCTGATGCTCTAGCTCCTGTTCACTAAAAGACAAGAGGAGAGGCAGGAGGGGGTGGAAACACACTCTGGCATGTGCAGAGCATCAGCATTCCTTCCCGACCTGTGTCAAATTAGAGTATATCTGCCACGACCTCCATCCAGTTTCCCTTACACAAATGCGGTTGTTTTTAGAATTGGACTTTCGTGCTGCCTGTTAAATTCATGATTACTTTTTTTAAAAGTTAGTGGCCTAAATAATACTACTTGGTATACTTCATTAAGGACTTCAAAATTTAAAATCAAATTAGGCCAAAAGCCATTTTTAATTTTATAAATAAACTGCACATATGCCTTAATGTGCGTCTCCCTATTGGATTATATGCCTGTCCTGTCATATTTGTGGCTGAGATCTATCCCAGCTACGGAAAGTAATTTTTCCTGTGGTTAGCTTTATTGTTTTGTGTTAATATCATAAATATAGCTTTAAAAGTCATTCATGCACTTTAAACAGTTGTGCCATTTAAGTAATGTGACAGAATGAAAGAAACTGGTAACATTTACTTGATGGAGGCGGTAGAATAACAGTGTTAGCAATTAGTGTCAGTTCTTTAAATTTGGGGAGCAATCTGAAGCTGAAAATTTAAAACAAGTAAAATATACCTGAAAAAAACTGTAGCTGAGTTTCTGAAATTACACAATCCCGAAAATTGGTCTCAGGAGCGCAAATATAACAAATAATTAATAAATGCTACCTAATAACCTTGTTGGGATGTTTGTTAAAAATATCAAGTTAATTTCTCCTGCAAGTTTTAACTGCATTTTCGTATTTCATGAAATCTATAAAAGAAAGTCCACTGACGAGATATAAATGGAAACTATCACCAATCGCTAGTTTGAGGGTATTTTTGTTTTCCAAACCTTCATAACTTAAGTATGACATTTTCCTCCTCCTGTGGAAAATCAGTTCCAAACTCCCATGTTTAATATGTATAACGACAAATATTACTTCAATAAAACGGAAATAGACTGATAGAATCATTAAGATACGGGCTGAACAAAAGCAGAGGCCCCAAAGGTTGGGAGTATTTAATACTGTGAAATGTCTCTTGGGTGCAAACCAATGATGCAGACCTTTAAAAGAGAAAGGCAGCGGAACTCTTTGTAACTGTGGCTTTAAGGATAGAACTGATACTCATTCCGTACTAACGGTGTGTGGCTCTTCCATTGTATGCCACTATGGTGAGGCTGGAGGTGTAGTAGCCATTATCCAAGAGGCAGAGAGGCACAGACCTGTGGCTGTCCGTTTGGAGCGTTGGCTGGAGCCTCCACATACCGCACACGTAGTGCCAATGTTAGAAGCATGTAATTATGCTTATGACACACTACAAATGACATGAAGGCCAATACATTATTATTTAAAATATATAAAAGATTGCCACTGCTTCCCACACCCCACCCCCACACCCCACCCCCAGTTCCTTTTAGCTTATAAAAGACATTTCATTAGGTGTATTTAACTCTATATCACCTAGGTTATATTACCATTGAAACTATTTTTTTTCTGGCCTCTCCCACATTTCAGTTACTCTGTTCACCATTAATGTTAAATGATGTTCTTCCCTACGTGTGAAGTGATGCTCTCACACTTCCAACATCGAGTTCCCCT